CGTAGCTTGAGCTGTACCAGATCGGATGCACTTAGCTTCAGTATCGCCATATAATATTAGTAAGTAGTAATTAAATGCCGCTTTCTTGGTGATACTTCCAAGCAAGTTTTCTATTTATGCTGGGTTATCAATCGGGTTTTCCATGAAAATCATTTCGAAGCTATAAAATGTGAAGTCTCTCAGCTAAATAGTTTTGGATAGCTACGTTCCACATGACTAAATCCTTTCAGTAGAGGGTTAGCGACGCAAACGTCGCGTTGCCTTGTATCATTTCTGTTTACAATTCACCAAACTCGCCATTCTATAACTTAAAACGACATATTAATGAAGTTATAACTGCTTCAAAACGATTTTGTGAAAATATAATTGTTGTTGGTGATTTCAACATAAATTTGAAGATTAAAACCAATTACAAATTTATTGAATATATGAAATCATTCGGACTAGCTTTGATTAATAAATTAAATAAAAATTCAACTAATGCTAAAACACAGATTGACTATTGCTTCGCTAATGTGAATGGCTGGAAATGTGATTATTTTGAAAGTCTAAGAAGTTTTCATAAACCATTATGGATAAGAAAACATGAAATTGTGAGTCAATTTCATGTTGATGAAAACGAACAGATTCGTACAGATATGCATTTGAATCTTGGAGATCTTAGCATTGATGATCGCTCTAACTGGATGGACATCGACGACCAATCTTCTTTCGAACAAACTCATACAGATATATCTTTTAATATTAAGGATTTTCACACCGATGATCAACCAGAGATAATGGAAATTGTTGAACAATCTTTTTTTGAAAATTATGAAATGACTGATGAAGAAAAGGATCAAATCCATACAGATATATCTTTTAACTTGAAAGAACTTAAAACTGATGGTCTATGTGCTTCAACGATATTTAACGAGAAATCTCCTATCGAAACTTACGAAATTGTTGATTTAAATACGAGAAGGATTCTTGATCACTTTCTTCTTGTACTTGATTCTAATAATACAACAGACACTGATCATATTTCTAATCAAGCTCGAATAATCAATGATTTGATTGAAAAATCACCATTTATAACTGTGCACAATAAAGACCTATCTGTACGATTAAAGCCAAAAACGGAATATTCTGTTCAAGAACTTGATTCAGTTTATGCTAGAACTCGCTCAACTGGAGATGGCAATTGTTTATATAGTTCTCTTTCGATAATGAATATCGGGTCTGAAAAACTAATGCATTCAATGAGATTGTTGGCAGTCAATGCAATGATTAATAGTAGACTATTTCGAAAAACTTCGTAAATTATTGCACTATTCTTTTGAAGAACAGTTGAAAAGAACTGCTATGGATACAATATGGGGTGGAGAAGTTCACACTCAAGCGCTTTCTATAGCTCTATTTCATGCTATCTATTCATATATCCAGTTTAATAGCGATCCACAAAATAGACATTATATTTCATCGAGTATTGAATTACAAGAACTAGTTGATCGATTTGTTAAAGGGACAGCAGGCGGTCATTTAAAATACATAGGATATAAATCCGATATGAATAAATTAGGATTTTGTCTTTATTACAGCGGTATTCTCTATGATGCTCTTTTACCTTTTCAAGATAATCCTCAACAATTTTTGCCACACTTTGACTTGATTAATATGAGTTTATAACAAGCTTTCAGTAAAACAACCAAGTTCTCATTCATGCGATTGAAGAGTCTCCGGAACTAGCTCCTCGCCGCGTCCTATGGGACAAAAAGAGGGCATCCGCAGGGCCTAAGGGGCAGCTCCTTAGTGCGCTCAAGGATGAATTGTTTTAGGCAGTTTGATCGACACCAATCTACCACCAGCTTCATTTTTTTGAAGTACACAACACTCGGATTTTAATCCGAGGTTTCCGCATTTATTCAATCTATTTATTCGATTATTGATATATTCCTTGATATTATTTAACATAGTTGTATCATTGATAATACCATTATTATTTGAGAAGAGTGATTCCAATTGAATGAATTCATTTTGATATTGTTGTTCGTATTCTTGTATTTTTATTTAAGAAATATTTAAGAAATAATTTAACCATAGACGTTTTGCTTCTTGTATAATTTTATAACGTTTATTTTTTATTTCAATGGCTCTTGCATTATTATTCAATGGTAAATAATCAATAGATGAAATAAAATCTTCCAGATGATTAAAATTTTGTAGTAAAAATTTACAATGAATTCTTATTTCTAACATTGATTGTTCTTTCCAAATTTCTGCTTGTTTTTCTCGTATTGTAATCAATCGATTAATATATTCATTCTGAAAAGATAATCATTCAATAAGAAACATATGTATTCGACTAAAAATCAAATGGATTTACTTGTTGATTGTTCATAGAAGAAGACGTGGATATCGTTGTCAATAGTTTTTTCTTCAGAAATATCATCTTTAAATTTGATCAATTTGATCAATTTATCATTATTTCTTTTTGATAAATATTTTCGTTCACGATCCACTAATTCTTGAAGTCGTTGTTCCATTTGTTCAAATGATAATTCTATCATTGGACATGTTTGAAATTGTTGTTCTTGTTTTGTTAATTCAAATTGACGATGATTCAATTGCTTTTTATTATTTTCTGTATAATTCATTACATATTGTTTACATAAATCGAAATCATTTGCCTTTGACATCGTATAAAATTGATCCTTAATATTAATTCAAAAGAGAACGTAAAGAATAATTTGAAGATAAAATAAAATAAACTTACTGGCCATAAATGTTGTTGTAAACCAATATCTAAATAAGATTGCCATAATTGTCGATCCTTTTCTAAACAATATTGTTGATCTAATAGTTGAAGTCGTACATTAATAAATTGTTTTTCATCTTTTTTCTTTAATGAATAATTTAAAGTTTTATTTAATATTTCATAGAGTATCGATGATGATCGTGTTAAATACATCGGTTGTCTAAATATATAAAAAAAATAAATACGATGGATAATTTTGAAAATTTTGAAAATATACACATACCGATAATTTATATGTTCGTTTATATCATTATTATTTTTATTGATTACTGGATTCTTAGTCATGATTTCTGATATATTCTTCATTTTTGTTTTGATGATGGTTGCATAATAGATATTGAACTCGTTGATGGTGTGTGTGGGTGTGGGTGTATAGGAAGCTACCACGATGCGTTTCGATCCAGCTCAATGGATATCATCGGGTGGCTTAATATCTTCAAAATCGATTTAAAATTCAAAAGAAAATTTTGAGCAAATCAATTAAAGACAAATTCACACTGTTCTGATTCAAAACCGAAGTAGAATGGTAAATGTGGGTGTGGGTGTGGCTCAAGGGGGAAAAGGCGCGACTTCCGTACTTCCGCACTTCCTTTGTACTCCCCGGTACTTCCCTGTACTTCCCTCGTACTTCTCTTGTACTTCCATGTACTTCCCTCGTACTCCCTCGTACTCCCTCGTACGTCCTTCGTACTTCATTGTACGTCCACTGTACTTCGCTCATACTTCCATTCTACTTCCATCGTACTCCCTTGTACTCCTCTCGTACTTCCTTGTACTTCCATTGTACTTCCGTGTACTTCCACGTACTTCCATGTACTTCGATCCAATAGAAAAGTAGATGCAACAGCTTCACGAAATGCTCAGTATAGCTGTTGGAATCAGTTTGTCTGTTGGTTGTCGAGGTTGGATAACTTGAATCTGGCATCAATTTTTAGATAGTTTTTACCAGATGCGTTTTTGATCAAAATATTTTTTTTTGAGAAAGAATCAATTTCAGTAAAGTTTGACCAGAGGTTCTCGAGATCGGGGAACTCGAATCTGACATCGGTTTTTAAGAATTTTTTACTCAATTTGTTTTTTGGTAGAAAATATTTTTTTGGGAAATAAATTCTTTTCGATAAAAGGAGAAGGGCGTATAAGACCGTTTTGCGGCTACCCCTTCAGATTTGAATTATTTCTATCATACATTAATCAGGGATCATTCTTGATCACTTTTTTCAACTTTGTTTCTGGAAAATCGACATTGACGATTTTTTTGCCTGGGTTACCACACAGGTATCATTGAAAACAAAAGTTGTTTTATCGCGAGCCAAAGCCAGATGTAATTGTAGATTTAAGGATACTGATTACGAATATCACAATAAGAGCTCCGAAAATTCCTTTATTCTTTATAAAACCTGAACCACTCGCTTGACCCTATTTTTCATTATTTGGTCCCTCATAGAATAACGAAACAATAAACTTTAGTGCAAAATGATTTTCTCTAACTGATAATTTTGAGTTCTCTGCGAATTTTAAGTTTTTGTATCGAAAAAATGTAACTTAAGGAAAAAAGTAGGGATTTCGTGGGAAAATTTGACCCCTTCTCGCCATATTTGTCTACCATGAGAATGAAGAAAGTCTACCGCAATGTCAAATTTTGATCGTAAGTGCAGTTTTTCAAGCTCTATCGACTGAAGATCTCAAAAATAATAGAAAAATTGTGCAACAGGGTGAAAAGTTAATAATACGATTAATTTCTATTAAATTGCTGTAGGAAACCACTGTCACTTAAAAATATAAGATCGGGAAATCAACAAATATATAGTCCATCTTGTACAGATTAATGCACTGTGCACACAGTAAAAAAATATGGCTGTCCGCTCTTTCCTTCGGTTCATAAATTCGCTTCACAAGATGTATGAATCGTTGCAAGGAAGTAAAATTTTACATCAATTTTTGAACCGAAAGAAAGAGCGGAGACCCACCATTTTTTTATTCTATGTACAGTTGATTAAGCTCTGCAATATGGGCTACATATCAGTTGATTTCAGGATCTTACATATAATCGTGGCTGTGGCCCACTACATCAATTGATACAAATTATTAGTATTATTAATTTTTGACACTGTTACACAATTTCTCTATTATTTTAGAGATCTCCAGTCGATAGAGTTTAAAAAACGACGCTTACGATTAAAATTTGATTTTGCCGCAAGACTCGCTTCATAGCAAACTACTAATGAAAAAACTATACATTTAAAAGACATTCAATGTTTGCCACTAAATCGCCACCTCGTTTTCTAAAGCGTTCTTTTTTCGGTATCAAAGGTTCAGATTCGTGAAGAGCTCAACATTTTTGGTTAGCAAACACATTTTCTACTTAATTTAAACACAAATGCTATTGTATAACGGCCCCAACAATGAAAAATAGGGTGAAACGAGTGGTGACGACGATTTTGGAAACAAAGTAGTTTTGAGACTTCTTATTTGTACATTCGTAATCAGTACCATTAAACCTGCAATTACATTAGGCTTTGGTTCGTGATAAAACAAATTTTGTTTTCGATGATACCTGCGGAGTACCCCAGGCAAAAATCGTCAGTGTCGATTTTCGGGAAACGAAGTTGAAAAAGTGATCAAGAACGATCCTTGATTAATAGCTGATAGAAATAATTCAATTCTGAGGGGTGGGGCGCAAAACGGCCTAATCCGCCCTCCTCCTTGCCTAATATTCTCAGAAGTATTACAAATCTGCAACAATATAAGCTTACGCTATTTTTCCGCTTTTTCTGTTTTTCTTTTCGCTATTTTCCGCTTTTTAAGGTCAGCTTTCCCATTTGTAGATCTCATCAGGTGACAACCCTGTGTGACATTCTTACCATCTGCTGGCAGCTGATAAGATGAAATGATCAATTCGATTAGCGCAATGAAAAATACAAATATTTTTCTGTTAATAGAAGAATATCTATCGAAAACTCTTATAGAATGTATTATATATCATAGTTCTGAATAATAGCATACTTAAAATGAAAACCATGATACTTATATGAGAAGTTGTTCATAGTTCAAGATAGTTCATTGTATTTCTCTTGTACTTCACTCGTACTTCCCTGTACTTCATTCGTACTTCCTTGTACTTCCTTGTACTTCCTTGTACTTCTCTTGTACTTCCATGTACTTCCTTGTACTTCCATGTACTTCCATCGTACTTCAAATTTTTTTTGAAGTAGATGAAGTCGCGCTTTTCCCCCCTTGGGTTTCGTCGAGTTTTACGATACCATATAAGTATCCATAGAATCATACGAAACCAGTATGAGGTTTCGCGAAATCCAAGGTTCTGTAAAAGACTTCAAAGAGTTTTAAAATGTAAAAAGGTTTCGTCCGGAACCCTTCGAATTGTGTCTTACCCACATGTTTGGTCAAACACCCTTTCGAGTTTCATAATCAGAAGAGTTTCTTAATAAACCTTGTCTACAATTCGTTCATCAGTACATTACCACTCAAAATAATAACTTCTATTTTTTACTGTTCAGACTTTTAGAAGCACCCCATTCACACACAACAACAACATCAGTTTCCGAGCTTTTCCCAATTTGTAAGAGGATCCCACAGTATAAAAGCTTTTGACCGCTACACAAGGAGACCATCATCTCAGTTCAATATATTTCTGAAGAACGTTTTCGACCACCACATTGCACCGATCAAAAATTTAATTGCTGCCACAATAAGATTTTTTATTACAACTCCGGGCAAAAATTGCCAAATAACTTTGTAATAGGTTATCGAGGTCCAGCAACCCGAATATGTAGTCAACTTTTCGCGTCGCGTCCCCATTGGTCAGAAAGTCGGTCCCTGCCTAAGTCAAAAACTGTAAAGGTAGGTTTTTTATTTCAACTCCGAGATAAATTCTGAGGCAACTTTGCAATAGCTTATCGAGGTCCAGCAACCCGAATATGATTTTTATTTAGATCAAGCGTCATTTGATCAAATAAAAATGGTAAGTTCTACTTTAAAACTTAAGACATGGTGAAGTATTTGTTTCGATTTAGCGCAAGGGTCACTTGAACAAATGATAAGGGAGAGTTGGGATTTGAAAGTTACAAGTTGATGAATTTTTTTTTCTGTTTAGATCCAGGCTCAGCTCTACAAATACTAATGGTAAGTTCCATTTTTATAAGTTACAACCTGAGGAAATATTTTACGTATATTTAGATCCACCCTCAGATAAAGAAATACTAATGGTGAGTTCGATTTTGAAAGTTATATGCTGATGAATTATTATATTTATATTTAGGTCAAGTGTAAGATGAATAAATACTAATGGTGAGTTCGATTTTAAAAGTTATCACCTGATAAATCATTTTATTTCTTCTTAGACCGATTCTCAGATGAAGCAATATTTAATGCTGAGTCATTTAGAAAGTTAAAAGCTGATTAATTAATTTTTCTTTCTTTTTAGATGAAACATCCCACACCGATCGCTTCACCCACCGGAATCTGGAGAAACTGGCAGGAAAGATGCCTGAAAGTCCACGTATTCTGTAAGGGAGCACATGGTGTCGGTGGAACATGGAAACAGTATCCCGGTCGCAAACCTTCCTGATTTTTCTAGTGAGTTCCGACCAACTTGAGATGCCTTTCGGCAAGTTGCGGTGGAAATCATTGAAAACAATTTGCGAAAGTTGGTGGTCGTAATACTGCTTCCATGTTCCAGCGATATCCTAGGTTCTCCTGCAGAATACGGCGACTTTCAGACAACTTTCCTGGTGGTTTCTACAGAACCCGGTTCTTTTTTAGAGAATGGGTGTGTTTTGCAGTGAATAGTGGTGGAAAACTACTTCCATAATGGAGCATAGCACCCGGCGGATCCGTCATTCAATATTGCGTGGTGAATTATACAGAACCCCTGTTATCAGCTATTAAAATTTAGGCTTTTTACGAAACCCAATTTCTACGAAGCCTCAAAGAATTTCGATTTGGTTGCAAAAATCAGATACCTTTGGGGTTTCGTATGGTACCTTTTTTTTCAGTGTGAGTTCACGAGATCTCTCTGTAGGGAGCATTCTCCGTACAATCATTGTCAGCATTCGGCATAAATAATGTTTTCAACGAAATTTGATCTGTGGTACCCACTATTTCACACTATTTATTGTTGTGTTTCTCGGTAAAAGCCCATTATTCCGATAAGTGACTTTCTTTGCCAAATAGACGTCTTCAATCAGAATGTAGGAAGAAAAGGAATCCAAGAATGGACTCTTGTATAGCACACTAATGGTTTCGAAAGTTTATTTATACATGCTATT